GAGCCATCTCTCCAGCCCCATAAATTAGTTTTAGAGGGGACTCAGAAATGTATCCTTTCTTAAACTTATGTTATCTATTACTGAACAACAAATTATTCTAAAGTTTGCCAGCTTAAACACAACAAGCACATACTATCTCACAGCTTCCACTTAGCAAGAATCTGGGCACAGCTTCACTGAATGGCTCTGGTGCTGGGTTTCATCAGAGGCCTCCTCTAGGTGGGAGGCAGAGCTCAGGCAAAATCTACTTCCAACTTGCTCCTGGCTCTTGGCAGACCTTGAGTTTTTTTGGCCTGAGTGGACATCAGGCCATTGTCCTTGTCACATGGACTCTCAGGGATACTCAGAGCAGGATGGCTTGTTGGGTCCAGAAAGAAACCTGACAGACAGTGAAGGAAAGGCTCAAATGGAGCCACACATTCAGCCTGATTTCCAAAGTGAAATCTACCATGTTGCCTGTACTGTTAGAAGCTGCTCACTAGACCTCGGCACAGAATGACCCAAGGCTATCCCAGCAGGTAAAGGACTGAGAGGGTTCTTAGAGGCTGCCCCTCTAAAGCTCTGCAGATTGTTGGGGTGTATCAGAACCTTAGCCTTTAGAAAGGATAGCAAACTTCTCTGGTGAAAAGAATGGGTATAATTAATCAGAACTCAGAATGATTGTATGAGATATCTTAGTTTTGGTGTTGAATTAGAATTTACCCTAGGACAGAGTATTTACAAGCAAGATGCTGGTGTTTGTGCAGAGGCAGTTCACAGGCGTGCCTAGATTTGAGTCTAAGATATGCTCTGAGTGAAGTTGCCTTAAATTAATTACGAGACTCAATTTCTTAAAGATGCTAATGAGAATTGTTCTGACTTTTCAGCTGCTGAAGGTAGGTTTTGAAAGGTGGTGAGTGAAGGAAGGGAGCACAAAATTCTGAAAACTGAGAAACGTAGCCCTGGACAGTCCTGTTGATCTCTCTGAGCCCAGTTTCCAGCTGTTGACATGGAAAAACTAATCATGCACTAAATCTGGCATAAATAATGATGAGTTTGGAAAACCTTTCTTCCTTAAAAACAAAAACAAAACACAAAGCATTTCTTTTGGGCTGGGTGAAGCAGGCAGCGGGAGCGCAGAAGCGGAGTGTGAGGCCCCAGGTCCCTGTATAGAGATGTGTTGAGCCTCGATTGGTTTCCTGGAGTCCATTCTGATTACGGAGGATTAGATCACTGGCCAGAGTCTGTGTGGGCATCCGTTCAGTTTCCAGGTCTTCTAATTGTTGATGGTCAGCTTTCTGCTTCTTCCCAGCCCTGTGTAGATCTCTGCCCAGTGTCCATGTGGACAGCCTGTTACAGGGGGTTAGATCACTGCCCAGTGTCTGTTTGGACTTTATTTTCCAGGTCTTCTGAAGATCTGTGTTTCTCTTTCCTTGAGAGCAGCAGCGACTTCTGTCTGTCTTGGAATCTTGTCACTTAGAGCTGTGTCTAGGTGATGACTGTGGTGCTGCTTTTGTTGTGATCCCTGCTTGCAGATGTGTGTGAGTACATATCCAAAAAGGATCAACTAAGGTGAAGACCCTCATTGAATGGTTAGTTCTATCCCAGAGGCTGGGGTTCCATGGGGAATGAAGGAGAAGGCACGTTCTTGTGGATAATCACATTCCTGTAATCCACCTCCCCCCACATCTGTCCCCATTTGGCCACACCCTTCCTCCCTCCCTCTGTCTCTGGTAGGGTGAAATCTCTGAGGCTGTGAGCCCAAAGAAATCCCCCTCCCACCTTGTTTATCCCAGATGTTTGGTCATGGCCATAAAGAATTTGGATACAATGAACTAGTACTAACTCTGGACCCCATGTGCCAAGCAGTATGATAAATACTTGAATGCATTGTCTCATTTAATCCTATGGAGTTACCAGGGCTCAGCGAGGTTGCTTAGTCGACCTAGAGCAAAGCTGCCACAGACATGTGGTTGTGTTTTCTCTTGTATTGTGTTTTGCTTAGAGCTGTGTCCCTGAAGTCCCAAAGTAAAGTTGATGTAGCTTCATCCTTCTTACCTTTTTCTTCTGGGTGCTGGGAATACCCAGTCAGGGATAAGATGGTAGGGATACCTTCTTTATCGAACTGCACAGGTAGAGCAAGATACCAATTGTCTTGGAACTGAATCTACAGCATTTAGGACTGTGTTCAGATGCCCCCCCCCCCCCTTGTGTTAGGTGAGACCAATGCCTCAGAAAAACAGCTTAAAAAGAGGGAAGATTATATTTTGGTTCATGGTTTTAGAGGTTTCCATCCATGACTGGCTAGTCGTCCTGTGTCCCACTCCCACTCACAGGCCTAAGGTATGGCTGAACATGCAGTGGAAAGCCCAAAGGAAAAACACAGTACCTTGCTGGCAGTGGTGGTGCATGCCATTAATACCGGCACTTTGGAGGCAGAAGCAGGCAGATCTTGGTGTTTGAACTCAGCCTGGTCTACACAGTGAGTTCCAGGATACCCAAGGTTATACAAAAACAAAACAAAACAAAAACAAAGCAAAACAACAAAAAAAAGACAAGACAAAATGCCAGCTCATCTGTCCCAGATGGGGGTGTGGAGCAGGGCAACATACAAACAGCCCAAGGACATTGACCCCCGTAACTGATTCCTCTAGCTAGGGTCCACCCCTAAAGTTTCCAGTCTCTCCCAAACACTGCTTCCAGCTGGGGACCTAGCCTGTAACTAATGAACCTCTAAGGCACATTCATGTTCAAACTGGAGCTGGCCCATCCCTGTGTAGCTTTCCCTGCCTGATCTAGATATGTCTTCCCCCCCCCCCCACTTTGACCCTGTCGGGACTGCTTTCTTTGTGGTTCTAATCACCTGCTTCTGCAGTGTCACCTGCTTGCCCTTCCCAGAATGTGAGCTTGCAGAGAACACGGCCTCCTTCGTGCCTAGAAATTGTGCCTGGTGGGAGCTCAGTCAGATTTACTCCTCCACCCCTCAGTAAATCATGCCATGTTTTTTGTCTGTGTTAATGATCTTGGGTCCATGCCCAGTGCAGTGATACACTTGATTTGACATGTTAGGTGTTGAGTTACAATTTAATAGTCAGGAACATGGACCTTAACTGTACAACTTAATGAATTGTGCATATACCCACATAACCTTAGATCAAGAGGCTTCTAGAACCTCAGAAGGCCATCTATTCACTTTCTCTTCCCTCGGGATAAATCGCCTGTTTCTATAAATTGGCTTCTAACATTTAAAAATGGAAAGAATTCATATGAAAGTTCAGAATTCCAACACCTCTAAATACTGACTGAGCGGTCAGCACAGGGGCCGCTGTCCCTTTGGCTGCAGTTCACTGCGGCTGAGACGCAGCTGTCCGAAGCCTTGCACACGCTCTCCCATTTGCCTGTGCGCCTCACCCTCTCTGCCTTTGCCTGACCTGGAAATCTGTTGCCAGTTGCCAGTTACAATTTCATTTGAATTTTCTTGTGGTAGAAATATGTCTCATCTGTTAGAAGGTGGAGACATAAATAGTACACAAACTTAGTCCTCTTTACTCATTGTTTCTAGTCTGTGATATTTCTTAGCCATTTATTAATTCTGCAGTTTTGTTTCAATCTGTACAGTACTCTGTTGAATGAGCCGGTTTTCTATGGAACATGTTTCTGCTTTGATTTTCCCTGTTAAAAAGAACACCCTGTAGATAAATCTTTGTGCACTTTTCTTTTTTTTTAATATAATTTTTTATTTATTACAATTTATTCATTTGTATCCCAGCTGTAGTCCCTCGTTCCCTCCCATTCCTGTCATCCCTCCCTCAACTCCTCCCATGCCCCTTCCCCAGTACACTGATAGTGGAGGACTGCCTCCCCTTCCATCTGACCCTGTCATATCAGGTCTCATCAGGGCTGCCGTTCGTAGTCTTCCCTGTGGCCTGGCAAGACTGCTTGCCTCTCAGGCAGAGGTGATCCAAGAGCCAGCCACTGAGTTCATGTCAGAAACAGCCCCTGCTCCCCTTATTCTGGAGCCCATTTGGAGACTGAGCTGCCATGGGCAATATCTGAGCAGAGGTTCTAGATTATCTCCATGCTTATCTCTATGCATGGTCCTTGGTTGGAGTATCAGTCTCAGAAAAGACCCCTGTGCCCAGATTTTTTTGGATCTGTTGTTTTCCTTGTGGAGCTCCTCTCCTCTCCAGGTCTTTCTAACTCCCCGTTCTTTTATAAGATTCCCTGCACTCTGCCCAAAGTTTGGCTATGAGTTTCATCATCCACTTTAATACCCTGCTGGGTAGAGTCTTTCAGAGGCTGTCTGTGGTAGGCTTCTGTCTTGTTCCTTATTTTCACCTTCTTCCAATGCCTATCCCGCTTGCCTTTCTGAGTAAAGATTGAGCATCTTCCCCAGGGTGTCCTCCTCCTTGCTTAGCTTCTTGAGGTGTACAGATTTTAGTTGCAATTTTCTTCTTAGGATAAAATTGTGAGGGACGTTACCAGATCCATATTGCCAGCTCTGTTCTTGGTGTATGAGATGTTGTAGGAGATGATGAGTCACGTGTAGGAATGTTCCTTTCCTGCGTCTGTGCCAGACTGGGGTGTAAAATGTAAAGATCTGCTAATTAGGAAAACAAAACATGGGAACACTAGCCAAGAAGGTTTCATCTTCTCATCTACATAAATAAGATCTGTACTTTAAAGGATATAATGTAAAAATTTCCCCTGTTATATGTTATGCTGTACCTTAGAGCCAAATCAGGTACCACATATCTTGGGAAACCACTAACCTTGATACACATATATACAATTTATAATACACACACAGTTCCCAGCACTCGTGTGATGGCTCAACCATTTTCCAGAGGATCTGATGCCCTCTTCTGACCTCCATGAGCACAAGGCACACATATGGTGCACATAGATACATCCAGGCAAAAGATTCATGTGCAGAAAAACTAAATTAAAAAAAAAAAATCAAAGAACATAAAAGTATTTTTTGCACATTGGCTTTCACTGGGTTTCATCTTTTCAATTAGATGCCCGTGTCCCTTGCTTCCTGAGGAGATGCTCACATAGAAGAGTGACAAGCTGTCGTCCATTTGTGAGCACTGACCCACCTCCTCAGGTACCCTGGCTCTGGAAACTGCTATGGGAGATTGGATGACTGTTACAGATCCAGGTCTGTGTGCAGGTAATTGAGTCCAGACACCACCACAAGGAATCTCTGAGAAAAACATGAATTACCACAGACACTGAAGATGAGCTCATACCCGGATCTCATTTGCAGTAATGTTATAAAAAGCCGAGCTGTGCTTTGGGAGGGGGCAATAGATTATTTATTACTACTTTGGAGGGCAGCTTTATGCATTTGAAATATATTTCCTGGCTCCTTCAGTCCCTGATCCCTTTAATTACATAAACTGAGTGGCGCAGTGTTAATCCTGTTTTTGTAAATCCAGTAGTGGGAGTTCAGTTGTGCACTCATTTAACATAACTTCCAAGAAAGAATACCAGTGTAATTGTGTCATTTTGCTTATAAAAGTGTACATAGATTTCACATAAAAGTGTGTTTGCCCAAACTTTAAAATACTTTATATAAAATTCAGAATCTTTGGTAATGGAAACTTAAGTTTTATAATTGCCTGAATGCTTTTTTATTTTCAGAAAACAAAAATCTCTCTCAATATACCTCAGAAACAAAGATGTCTCCATCAAGTTTATACTCCCAGCAAGTGCTATGCTCTTCAATACCTTTATCAAAAAATGTGCACAGTGTTTTCAGTGCCTTCTGCACAGAAGAGAACATTGAACAAAGTATTTCATATCTGGATCAGGTAATGTGTTTCTTGTAATAAGCAAGCGCATGAGTCATATTTATTATATACTGGGAAATATCCAGGCTAGAAAAGCATTTGCCAAGCCTGAGTGGCCAGAGACTTGGACATGTGGAGAGCTGAGCTTCTGGGCTGACACAGGGCTGACTGCTGTGTCTTGCAGCACCTGGCCTCCTGCTGTCCCACGCTCCACCACTGGGAGTCCAGCCCTCAACTTTATTGATAAAAAACCTGGGTAGCTTATGCCAGGGCACAGGTGACTGTTCAAAAGGGTCTAAAAACTTATCGAAGAACTTAAAGATATTTGTGTTCGTTCTTAGACTATTTAATAGTAATGATCTAAGAATGGGTTTCTGTTTTCTCTTTTTTCCTTTTCACTAAGTTGTCTGTTAATCCACTGAAAAACAGTTTACATATTGGAAGTGTCAGTTGACAGGATATTATGCCCTGCACAAGGTTTTGAACATGTGTGCATTGTGGAGTGGCTCTGATGTGCCCGGAGCGAGGTTCGTCCTGTGTCGGGGTGATTTGAGGTCTACGCAGCAGCTCTTGAGAGTCAGCACATCGTTACTTATCACTGTGCAGTGCACTTGCGCATTCGTGCCAAACCGAAACACCCTGTCTTTGACCACCTCTTCCCGGAGATAAGGCTGCTAAGACACATTCTCTCCCCTCAGGAACTGACTACCTTCGGTTTTCCTTCCTTATATGCGGAACCCAAAAGTAAAGAGACGAAAAGAGAGTTAAATATAGTTGCTATTCTCAACTGCATGAATGAGCTGCTTGTGCTTCAGCGGAAGAACCTTCTGGCCCAGGAAAGTGTGGAAACACAGAATCTGAAGCTGGGCAGTGACATGGACCACCTGCAGAGCTGCTATGCCAAACTCAAGGTATACGCCTTCATCCTTCTAGCTTCAGTGCTCTGCCACAGGGCATAGCGCTCCGGGTGGCTGTGGGCTTCGGACGAGACTCAAGGCTGTGTTCAAAACCTGAAGTTCTTTCAAATGTAGGTAAGAGTGATTTTTAGTAATTTTCACAGTGCTTGCTGTGGTTCTTGCTGTGTATGCCGAAGGCCTGATTTTATTGTTTCGTGGCTTTCCTGAATCTGCAGGAAGAGTTAGGAAATACTCATGTTCTGGTTGAAATCAGGGTTTCCTCACCTCATCCAGCCTTGCTTGGTAAAGGAGATGCTTCATAAACATTGAGCTCTCCCACCCCAAAATAATCCCACGGTATGGTACTTATTACCAAAGAGCAGGGTTCAGGGATGAGCGAGCCAGGCAGCAGCTGATGGGAGTCCCCATGCTACCTGGAGACTGTAGTTTCCTGGGGCCCCTGGTAACCTTTCTCTGTAAAAGGATCACATGCTTTTCACAGGGCTGCTGACCTTCCATCTTACTATGTAGGATGCTGTTGCTGATTTCTGCTCTGCTTGCTTTTTCTTCCTTATAAAAATGCTTTTTCGTGTTTTTCTATAAAAATATGTTTTTCCCCTTAGAAAAGAGGAACAAGCATTTGAATCATGGTACGAGAAAGTTTAACATTATAATTGCATATTATTAAGAATATAATCCATACAAACTGTTTTCCCTCAGTATTCTACAGAAGGACCTCTTTTAAAAAGTCTTTGTGGGTATGTGTATACTCTTGACATGTTGGGTTTCTTGTGGTTTTCTATCTATTGGTCCCTGGCCCTCTTTCTTGTGCATGTACTTCCTACCCTATTCCTAAGAACAGATAAGGAAAACTAAAGTCGGAACCTTGACTCTGTCTCTGTAGGAGAGCGGTGGTTTCACTGTGACACTTGCAGAGTGGTGGAAGTGCTGGGAAGTGCGTGTGGTGTGCGCTGCCCTGGTGAGCGCCTAGCACATTTAGGGATGCTCTGTTGAAGCGTCACAGCTCCTCCACAGCACATGCCCTTTTAGCCTGTCACTGCCTCATGTGTCTTGTCTCTCCTCAGAGCAGGTGCAGCAACGCTGTCTCTTAACAGTGCCCTTAGCTTCTTGCACATCCTGTTTGCCTAAAGGACAGACAGGTTATCCAGCGTGTCTTGGCTAGCTGGGGACTGCGGGGCTGCAGGGCATGCATAGTGCTTTCTAACACTGAGCTTTGCATGCTGCATTGATTTGGTCCTTTTACCAGGACCAGATGCTAATCAGGCTGGAAGGCAGTGTTGTTCTGTGTGGCCAGCTGGCCAGTGCCATGTGAGTGAGTAGTGCCCAGCTATGTAGTTTAATGGTGCAGTTAAGTTGGAGTGACCGAGGCCTTTCCTGTAAGGAATGAGCTAGAACTACCAGGAGCAGAGTGTTGGGCTAGGTTCTCTCCTAGTTTGGATTTGACCTGGGCCAGAGTCTGTTATTTGGGTTAGCGGAGGACAGAAATTTGTAAGGTTTGTAGGTGTGGTGTGTGTGATTAATTCTGTAGGTGCTGGGGGCATAAGCCCAACCCTGCTTATGAGTTCCCAACCAGTGAAGTCCAATAAATGGGACCATAATTATTTCAGTGCCTCAGAAGTGGTTCTTAGTGCAGAAGGAGAAGGAAGGTGAAATTTTATAGTGTGGTGGCTCTTGATCAGGATTTAAAGAACCACTCAGAAGCTTGACAGCCTCGGGGAAAGGTTTCTGAACTTGTGATGTATATGAAGTGCTTGGAGGCAGAAGTGGCCATTGTGTTTTCCAGGAGCCACAGATGGGCTCGTGGAGAGTGTGAGGTTTGCTGGAGACTGAGGTGGGAGGCTGGGCCCGGGTGAGATGAGGAGGCACCAAAGAAGGGGGAGACGTGTGAATGTCACTTTGCTGAGAGGATGGAGAATTATAGGATGCACATTCACATCTACATGAGGGTAGAAGGCTCAGGAAGCTCATGATAAAGACAGTTTTTAGAAATTCTTGGCACAACTTTTGTTTGGATTATTTTAAGTTTTTGTTAACATACACAAAATAGATTTCATTGTTAAATTTTCATAACATTATTGTGCCTTACTCAAGCCTGCCTCACATGTATTTGCCTCCTCTTCTACCTTGTAGGTCCTTTGCTGTCTGTCCATACATTCCCCTTCTGTTTTCATGCCCTGTGCGCGTACAGTTAAGTCAGAATTAAAGGAGAAAAAATGTGCCACATTTTGTCTTTGTTATTGCCAGGCCCCTCCCCGCCACACACACCGTCAACCTCTTGCTCTCCGTTGCCTGTCAGTATCCTCCTGCTCTGGCACCATAGTCCACCTGCTTTCAGGCCATTCACACATATGAGAGAAAGCAAGGCATTTGTTGTTGTAAGTCTGGCTTATTTAGCTTAACACAGTTATCTTTTGTTTCACGTATTTCATGAAAACGACAATTTCATTTTTCTGAGTTGAATTAAACTTCATCACTCACAGGCACACTGGGTCACGTTTTCTTGTGCATTCTTCTGTTGCTGTATCTGGGCTGATCCCCTGGCTTGGCTGCTGTGAACACTGCTGCAGTAAGCCTGCAGTAGGCGGCCCTGTGCTGTGTTGACTTAGAGTCTGCTGACATAGCCTAGGAGCGGGGTGCTGGGTTGTAGGGTATTTCCGCTTTTACAGTTTTGAGGAACCTCCATGCTGATCTCTGTGGTGGCCCCTCAGCCTACCGGTGTGTGGAGTCTTGCCTTTCCTCCCGTCCTCACCAGTATTTGGAGTTGCTTATTTCTTTGAGGCCCTAGCTGCTCTGACTAGGGTGATGTGGAATCTCACTATAGTTTTTAATTCTCATTTCCTGTAGGGCTAAAAATGTTGAACGCTCTTTATATATTTACCACCCATTTTTTTTTTCTTTTGAGAACTACCTAGTAAGTGTTTGTCCATTTGTTGAGTGGTTTGGGGCTTTGGTATTTAATACTTGGAGTGTCTTTACAGATTGTATTAGGCCCTACCAGACGTGTATTTAGCAAAGACTTTCTTCCGTCTTTCACGCTCTGATGCATCCTCTGCTGTGAGTACCCTCTTCGACCCCATGTAATCTCACGTGTCCATTCTTGAGGTCAGTGTCTGTGTCATTGGAATCCTTTCATCAAATCTTTGCCGAACCTTCTCTGAAATGTTTTCTCTATTCTTTCCCAGCGGCTTCAGAGTGTGTGGTCTTAGGCTAAGGTTTTTGATCTGCTTGAATTAATACAGAGGACGAGATGAGGGGTCTGTCCTACTTTCCTGGCTACCTGAAGAGGCTGTGTTTTCTCCAATGTATATTTTTTAGACCGTGGTCAAAATGAAGTGCCTATAGCTGTGTGGATTTCTTTCTGGGTGCTCTGTTGTATTCCATTGGCCTCCATGCCTATTTCCATGGCAGTGCTCTTTGTATTTTTGTTTCTATGGCCGTGTTGTGTAGTTTGAAATCAGGTTTTATGGTACTTGCGGCTGTCTTCTTTCTGCGTAGGATTGCTTTGGCTGTTTGGGGCCATTGTGCTTGTATATGAATTTGAGGATTTTTTTTTTTTTTTTAATTTCTCAGAGTTCAGACTTGAAGTCCTCAGGTATTGTGAGGGATAGTGTTCCCAGCCTTCTCACCCTCAGTGGCATTTATTGTTCCCTAAAGCCAAGCGTCCCCCAAAGCATGAAGGTATCTTTGTAGATGAGCAGGTCTTCTAATGTGTGATGTTAAACTGTAAAAGCCTTAAAGAGAATTCAGGAAACTTGAGTGACAGCAGCATAGAGGAAGAGCCTTGTGAGGGACCCATGTTGCAGTTCTTGTACATAAATAAAAATAAAAATGAGCTGAAATGAGGCATGTGGTTTTATGTATTAAATTTCATAGTAATCGCGTTAAACATTCAGTGTGCCTCTGAAGTTGGGCTATAGCTCCCAGTGTGACCTTGTCACTGCTCTTCTGAGGATTTTGTGATTTGTCAGTTTTACTCGTGACTAATTCCATGTTCCAGGAACAGCTGGAGACCTCCAGGCGAGAGCTGATTGGTCTGCAGGAGAGAGACAGGCAGTTACAGTGCAAAAACAGGAATTTGCATCAGCTACTGAAGAGTGAGAAAGATGAGGTGAGTGTTCTGTCACTGCAGGAAGAGACACAGTGGCCGCCTCACTTGTAAGAACTGTCTCTTCATCCTGTGTCACACTGGCATTGCGGGTGGAGAGTCCCATGCCTGTCCTCTGCCCCTGCCCCAAGAGGGCGCATTTTCTTACCTAGTACACTGTTGTTGAATATTAGTAGTTATTATTGATTTATCTTTTAGTTAAGCAGCCATTATTCCTAAACCCAAATCACCACACAGAGACTGGGATTTATTTAATTACCCTAGAGCACAATGCTGGGCAATGATTACTTCATCCTAAACCTACAAGCCTGCATGGTTTCCTCCCATTCAGATTTTACCCATTATACTTGATTTTAGTCATATCTTAGGTTCCAAGACCTCTCCTGCCGATCTCTGCTCTCCTACTCCTCCCCCTCGCTTCCTTCTCCTCCACTCTGGACCAGGATGTCCCATCCTGTTCTCTCCCTTACTCAGCATTGTGGCTCGTAGTTTTATTGACATTACAGAGAACAAATGGTGGCATGTTTACACAAACTCGAGACAGGTGACGCTTAGAATTAGCATCACAATAAAATGTCCAGACTGAAACCAAATAGTAGGGTAGAGAAGTCAGCATTTGAATAAACAAGGGTAAATTGAATACATTCCAAAAGAACATTATACCAACAGTATAACAATCAGTTCATACCTGGCAACAGGCAGTGTCCCCTGTACCATCCTTCATGTACTCAGGACCACACATTTTTTCTCAAGCACAGGAGAATGTAGAGTGTGCATCCTTTTGCCTGCACTGTTGTCACAGAGGTATGGCTCCATGCCTCATCCCTTTCGCCACCTACCTTGGCTGCAGCAAGGTCTCCGTCTGCAGTGAAGGCCTGCCGACCTCTCTGGCTTTTGCTTGCCCAGGACCTCACACATGCTAGGCAAGTGCTCTACACCGAACTGTTTGTTCCCTTCCCCCAACATGATATTAAATGTAATCATTTTTCATTTAGTCAAAGAACCAACCTGACTAAATGTCTAGCATGTAGAGCACTTGCCTAGGATGCACAGAATGTAGCAGTTCACATTGAACATTTCACTTCTAACTTAAAATGTCATCACTCTGATTTTTGTTTTAATACATGCCTAGACTTTTGATTTCTAGTTTAGTGCCGATAGCACTGTGATGATGTGGAATTATGGAGGTAGTGCTTTGAAGGTGCTATTTTATACTGCATCTGTGAATAAGCCATTGGGTTTCTACTGCTCTGGGTTGTGAACCCTGTCCATTTAACAGCTATAAAAATATGATTATTTTTAATGTTTTATTCTTTTAAGAGGTCGGGAAGGATTCTTTTATTTTATTATTTTATTTTATGTGCGGGGATGTTTTGCCTGCATGTCTGCACCATGTGCATGGCTGGTACCTGTGGAGGCCTCTAAGGGTGTTGGCTCACGTGGACCTGGAGCTACAGGTTGTTTTAAACACCATGGTGTATGCTGAGAATTGAACTCAGCTCCTCTGCAAGAGCAACAAGTTCTCTTAATCACTGAGCCATCTTTCCAGCCCCAGGAGTCTTAAAAAAAAACCCATGAATTCATAGTTATTTTTAACCCTACTTAATTAGTATTTAATAATGGACAATGAATATCTAACCAAACTATATATATATTATATATTTAATACTATATTATTAATTTTTTTAATTAATAATAAATATAATATATGTATTTCTTGAGTTACCTGTCGCTTCCTTTTAGTTTGACTCGTTTGTCTTTGGGTTGGAGTAAGCTAAGAAACCACACTGTATGGCCAGGCTTGAGAATGGCTGTAAACAATGAAGAGCTCTGTAAGCTGAGCCAGGTGGCGCAGGCCTGTCCCTCAGCTGCTGAGGAGATGGGCAGGAAGACTGGGAGTCAAGGCTAGCTGCGCAGCTGTGTGAGACCCTGCCTCAGTGACTCACACGGAGAGGTGTGGGGTGGGGCCCAGCACTTGCCTAGCACACAGCGCGGAGGGCGTCAGAGCAGCAGTGCCTGGGCTCAGGCTCCCGGCAGTTGCTGCTCGCTCGGAGAGATGACGCCAGCCGCTGGCAGCCGCTGTGCCACGAAGCAGTGTTGTCCTTCAGGCAGTATTTTTAAGGTGCTGTCCATAAGGAAGGAAGAATCCGCTTGGAACTGAAAAACTATTATGTGGGAAGATGGCTACTAGGGTTTGTTTTACCTTTCAAACTTGTGAATTTTGGCGCGTTTAGCAATTCTTGTTTGATAGAAAGTGTTTTTTTTTTTTTTTTTTTCTTTTAGGTACAAAAATTACAAAATATCATAGCCAGTCGGGCCACTCAGTATAATCATGATATGAAGAGAAAAGAGCGTGAATACAATAAACTAAAGGAACGTCTGCACCAGCTCGTCATGAACAAGAAGGATAAAAAGATAGGTAGGCCGCCCGCTGGCAAGTGAATGGAGTGACGCAGGCCTGGGCACTACGCATGGAAGGGTGCAGGGTTTTCCTGCCTTGTAAGGTTGGCTTCACAATTTAGGTTTTTCCATGTAAAGTGCAAGTTGAGACAACTGACTTGTGGGGGCTATCTTTTTGGTTTGCACTAGTTACATGTTGCCTTAGTTACTTTTCTGTTGCTGTAAGACAAAGTGGCCAAGGCAACTTAGAGAAGAATGTGTTAGGCTTGCAGCTTCAAAGGGTAGTCCATGGCAGTCATGTTGGGAGCATGGCAGCTGGCAGGCATGGTGCTAGAGCAGTAGTTGAGAGCTTACATCTTGAGACAAACTGTGAGGCAAAAAGCCAGCTGGTAATGACTGTGGGCTTTTGAAACATCAAAGCCCAACCCCAGTGACACAGGTCTTCTAACAAGGCCACACCTCCTAATCCTTCCCATATAGCTTCACCAGCTGGGGACCAAGTGTTTAAGCATATGAGCTCATGGGGTCCATTCTCACTCAAACAGCACACATGTACTTATTTAACATGACCAGTATGGAGCTGGTCCATAAGTAAGCCAGACGCTGGTTTCCATAGAAAGAACTGGAGGTAGTGAGCATCAGCGTGGCTTCTGAAGGTCACAAGAAGGGTGATTTTAGAGTTAGCTTAGTCAAGTGGTGGCAGCAGCGGGCTGAGGTGTGGGTAGCTGTTTCTTGTCCCAAACTCAACCAGAAATGATAGATTTCATCCTGTTAGTTCCAGAACTTGAATAATGTTTTTCCTTATGCCAACAGAGTCTGTCTCCACCTGGGGAAGACTGTTGAGGACTTTCAGTCCTTTGAAGATGACAGCAATGATGTGGCTCATAGGGCACAGCAAGCCTTCTCTGTAGTGGCCCCAACAATAAGTATAGCTTGCTTCCTCTGCCATTGTCGGGAAAGGTCCTCCAACAGTGTAAATAGGTAGCTGTGGCTGAGTGCTAGGGAAGGCTGATTTTCAAGAGTAGGCAGCCAGACCATTGTGGCCAGTGGTCTGTCCTCAATGATAATGAAGTCAAGAGTGACAGGTAGCCAAGTACCTACTGTGCGTCAGACACTGTCTCCTTCCATTAAGTGCTTTTACATCGCTTTATCCTTAAGGACTGAAGGGGACTCTCTCCCACTCAGGAAAGAAGTGAGCTTAGCATTTGAAGAACTTGCCAAATCTCAGGGTATGTAATGGTCTTGATCTATGCACCAGGTCAGCTTCCGTCCCTGGTGTCTCAGGTATGGCAGAGATTGATGAATGATTATGTTTTATGCTTATATTTGTAGCCATGGACATTTTAAATTATGTGGGTCGAGCTGATGGAAAACGAGGCTCATGGAGGACTGATAAAACAGAAGCCAGGTACAGCCACGTGACCTAACAGTGTGGCCAGGGTTTGCTGTTGCCATGTGTTTTCACACCATAGTTTCTCCCCCAGGAATGAAGATGAAATGTACAAAATCCTGCTGAATGATTATGAATGCCGCCAGAAGCAGTTCCTAGTAGAGAACGCGGAGCTGAAGAAAGTCCTCCAGCAGATGAAGAAGGAGATGATTTCCCTCCTTTCTCCCCAGAGGAAATCCAGAGAGAAAACAGAGGACGGCGCAGGCACTGTCGTAAGTGCTCCTGTCTAACAGCAGCCTCGGCTCTAACCCACACGACTCAGACCTGGGTGGGTGACTCAGTGACGGCACTGTTGGTATTCCGAACCGACAGTCACTGCTCTGCCACCTGTAGTCACTGTGACAACCACAGCCCGCCCCTGTGCATCTCTCGGTACATCCCGGAAAACTGCAGATCATCTTCGGGTACCTCATGAGCATCATCTCATATTTCTCCCAAATATTTCTCCTGGAAATTATTTCCAGCATTATAATGTATAAAATGTTATAATAATTTGACTGTGCTTTTTCATACCCATCTTAGACAGGAGCAGCCTCAGGCTCAGTAGTTCCTAGCACAGTGTACATGGCAGGAATAGGATTGGATTCAGTATGCACTCATCCTCTATGCTGTGAGCCACGGCCTTCAGTGCCGTGTTGTCTACTTTCCAGATGGGGGAACTGTACACGATTTCAAAAGGGTCTTTTGGTGAAGCCGCCTGACTTAGAGACACGTTGACCCAACTTCAGATCCTGGTCCTACGTGCAGGCTGTGTAGCCCTGAGCCTGCTTCTCTAAGCTTGGGTTCTACACTTTTGCAGTTTGAGGATTGAGTGTGTGGCAGCATCCAGCACAGCGTTGCACAGACAGGGCTTGTCACTCCTCAGACAGCTCTGCCACTCAGATTTGAAGAGATCTGTCTCAATTGGGGAGTTTCTGTGTCTTCATGTTAACTTCTGTTTTCCAAGCTGTTAGGTAATAGATTTTGTCAGTGTGATACAGCTACCTGGGGAAAGCCATCATAAGTTGCTCTTTCAGTTTGTTCTCCCTCGTGCTGTAGGTTATCTCTGATATTGAGGAAGATGCTGGAGAGCTGAGCAGAGAAAGTGTGTGGGGCCTTTCCTGTGATACTGTGAGAGAGCAGCTTACCAACAGCATCAGAAAACAGTGGAGAATTTTGAAAAGTCATGTAGAAAAACTTGATAACCAAGGTAAGTACTGCTCTAGGCCTGCAGAGTGGGCTGCTGCTCTCCAGTCCACGGAGGGCAGTGTTGCAGGCTCACCCTTTTGCTCTGAGGGTCAGACCATGCCTGGTTTGCCCCTGGGTTTACGGTCACTGAGAGATGCGCTTGGCTTCAGAAGAAACCTTAGAGAGTGAGGTCACTCGCACTCCAGGGCTGTGTCCCCGTGCATCTCAGTAGGGAACTGAGTAACTCAGGAGTGTGAGGGCAAGCCATTTTGTATGGATTAGCATCTGCGTGCTTTTAAATTGGAAAGTTAAATTTTGTATTGTGTAAGATTGATTTTTATTATTTTAATTGTGTTTATGTGCCTGCAAATGGGTATATGATGTGAGTGTAAGCTCCCATTATCCGAACAGCGAATCTTAATACACGCGCTACAAGTTGTAAAGGGAAGCCGCAATTCTCATCATGGTTCCAGCATCACTGTGCATGAACTGGACTCGTTTTCTTGTCCCCGCTTATTAAGAAGGATGACTAGACTCTTAATTTTGCAGGGTTGAGTGTGCAAGCACACAGTTGGTAGTACTGTGCCACTCTTTCAAGTATCATCAAAAACAATTTATAAATGTGTGGTTTTGTTAGCATTCTTCTGTGGCTGAGACAGTTGCTCTTGAAGACTGGGTAGCAAGAACCAGAGGCTCATGAGGCACATTACCAACCTGTCATGACCGTCTTGAATAAATGTGGATTATAAGCTAAATGTTGGCAACAATGCTTATTTGTAAACATACTTAGTCCTAAAATTGTGTAACTGTATAGCTGTCAAAACTTGGAGTTATTTTTCTTTAAAACATTTAATTTTGCTACACTTTATGAAAATGGAAAATGCCAAAGAAAATAACTTCCTTTTACAAAACCTGTGAGAAGCCCAAAGGCAAAAGTTGTGAGAGTCTTTTGATTTTTAAATGTCTGATCAAAACCAACATGAGCAGACAGTGGCTATAAAAACCTGTCTAGTTTCTGGTTGTTCTGGTTAGGGTTTCCATTACTTTGATAAACACCATGACCAGAAGCACCTTGGGAGGAAAGAGTTTATGTTACTGTACAGCTTACAGACCATGAGGAAGGGAAGTCAGGGCGGGAACTAGAGCAGAGGTCATGGAGGAGCGCTGCTCATTGGCTGGCCCCTGTAGCCTGCTTTCTCATCTAGCCCAAGAGCAGTTTCACCACAGTGGCCCACCACAGTGAGCTGGGCCCTCCCACACCAACTGCCCATCTAGACAGTGCCTCACAGGCTAGCCCACATCAGTCTGGCGGAGGCGACTTCTCGGTTGAGGTACCATCTTCCTGGATGACCATAGCTTGTGTCAAGTTGACAACAAAATCACCGGCACACTGGTGTTCTGTCAGTTTCGAAGGGACAGTTGGAAGGCCTTAATGATGAGGACGTCATCTCTCGACAAGACCATGAACAAGAGACGGAGAAACTGGAGTTAGAGATTCAGCAGTGCAAAGAGATGATCAAGGCCCAGCAGCAGCTCTTACAGGTAAATGGAAGTCGGTGCCCAGATGGTGCCACTGGGCCTTCTGGGTGTCTACTCCTTTATCTTCTGACGTCTGTAGAGTTGGCATTTCCCATTTCAGTTGAGTTCTGCACTCGCAGCCCTGCCGTCTCACCAAGGGAGGCGGCGCTTGGGAAAAGCCAGTTCTCAGGGGCTGGCTGCTTCTCATAGTGTGTGTCCTTGCCAAACGTTAGCCGCCTTCCTTGCTCTGACTTGAATCTGTGTGCTTGTAGGTTCCTTGACTGACTGTGCTTTAAATTTTATAGCAGCAGCTGGCCACCACGTGTGACGATGACACCTCCTCGCTGCTGCGAGACTGCTACTTGCTGGAGGAAAAGGAGCGCCTCAAAGAGGAGTGGTCCCTTTTTAAAGAGCAGAAAAAGAATTTTGAGAGAGAAAGACGAAGCTTTACAGAAGCTGCTATTCGCTTGGGGTTGGAGGTGAGTGCTGCCGTGCTGCCGCAGTGGGTGGGGTGGAAGGGATCACTGCCGTGCTGCCGCAGTGGGTGGGGTGGAGGTGAGCGCTGCAGTGAGCGGGGTGGAGGGGATCACTGCAGTGCTGCCGCAGTGGGTGGGGTGGAGGGGATCGCTGCAGTGCTGCCGCAGTGAGCGGGGGTGGAGGGGATCACTGCAGTGCTGCCGCAGTGGGCAGGGGTGGAGGGGATCACTGCAGTGCTGCCGCAGTGAGCGGGGGTGGA